TGGTAACACTTATATGATGTGATGTATGACCAAATCATACATAGGAACCTTGTGTTATACACATCTTGGCATGTTTCATTGATCTTAATAATAATAACCATGACTTACATACTCCACAGTTTAATCATAAATAAATAGATTATTAATCTGTTGGAAATTCCGTATATTGTTATGAGTTACCTTACTTCAGATTTTTGTAATTATAAAATAAGTAGATAAATAAATGAAACACTTTTGTAATGCTCTACCTTTCTTCCAAGTTATTAAGCGGTAAGCTTGAGGGATTACACGCTAAAAATATAGTTTGGATACTCGTTATCGGCACAGTGCGAATAGCCATTGTGTAGCTTTAATACTTTAATTCTATACTGAAGAAGGAACATGTCTTTTGTGAAATGATCAAATGAAAATAAATTTGTTTTCAAGTGTGAATATACATGTTGCTCATGAATTATATCGATTCTGAATATCGAAGTCAAAAAAGTGAAGTTGCCGTGAAACAGCATGTATCAAAACAACATTTTGACATTGTTTATTGTGACATAGATAATATGATGCCAGCTTAACTGTACTTAATCTGTCAGAAAAATGAACTAATTATTTGCACTTCTACATGCTGAGACAACGGACTGCTTCCAGATCCTAAATAACAATTTACAAGCTAATATGACAAGTCTTAGGAAGCAAGACAGAGCATTTGTATGTTGTCATTATAACTAATAATATGTAATTGTTTAACGTTAATCTTAGCGTTTATGACAAATTTTCTCGTATAATTCATGAAACTACTATTTTATTATGGGCGCTTTTATAAGAACTACCTGTACACGCATATTATTGGACAGAAATGGTTTATCGTTTTGTTGTGTTATTATTTAATGTATCATTATTTATGCCTTCTCTATGAGAGTGAATGAATAAATAGTAATAAAATAGGTATATGGAAGTGTCGATCATTCTTAAAAATGTGTGAGATTGTAGTAACTACTGAGCAGTTTAAAATTATTGGAACTGCCAAAAATGACCTCTTTATCAGTCAAAGAGATCTTGGTCAGGAAAAACTGGAGTATAGAATTAAATAAACAATCTAGAATTGGTGAACTTCTGTTGAAAGTGCAAGGAACGCTTAAGATGATTATTGATAACAACTGTGATGTTTGACAAACCAAAATATTTCAATCCTTCCTTTCAAAGCAATGAGTGTGAAACTTATAATACTGTGCATATGTCGACCTAAGTTCGTGTAGTGTCGCTATACCAGAGTAACCATATCCTAACGTTTACCAAATATATCAAATCTTAGTGACAATCCGATGTATTTCCCATAGCAAATACATAAAGTTGCATTGGCTCATGTGTAATATGTTTACTTTTAGGAACTCTTTGAGAGAACTTGTCTTTGTTAACGGTTGTACCCGATAGTTTAGTTGGCGTATACCAGAAACTAACACTTTAACTGTAAATACCAGGCGAAGTTTACAATATTTTGCTAGAGATTTTCCTGTTTTATTTTTGATTGTTTATAAGAAGTAGATGGTCTTTTCACGACCACTAGATGGCAGTACTACAGGAAAACCTGGCGGTCAGGCTGATTGCAATGATAGGATAGCGAAAGCAGTTTTCTGTCGATCTTTGCATTTTGAAGTTGACAACACGAAATATAATCTGTGTAAATGTTTATTGATATTGTTTATGCTTGAGTAGTTCTAATTCCTCTCTAAGTTGACGTCTGTTAGCCTTTACGCATGTGGAAATCATAGCTGACAGTGACATTAGTTTGTATGCAAACCAAGATTAGTTATAAGCAACGAAATTCCCCCAAACCTGTATAACTTGGTGACGAGTGGTAAATTGAATGATGTATGTTATTTTACATTTTGTGAATGGATATCTTTCAGTTTCGGTAGTTGGAGTGTTCGAAAATTCTGTGCCTCAATCTTTTTAAGGTAATATCGTGATATGCTCACTTGCTCATTTTATATTATACAGGAGTGGCACTAATGAAACATAACGTTTATAAAAAGGATCAAAGATTCTTATTGCAGTTTTCTCAAAGATACAAAATATTGATGAGAGGGTCAACATATTTTACTGAGAAATCTTGCCCACAAATACTCATTTATATAGTCATGCTAGTTTTTTCCTTTACATCTCAAGGCGAAAAACAACAACAACACAAAATCACCTCATTTTGCATTGTTTATACTCGTGAATTCTTGAAAGATGATTGGATAACACTTTTTCTCATACATTGCCTTTTGCTGCCATTATTTTAAGACGAACATTATACAGAACCTGTGGTTTTCCTTCTAATATTCTGATTGGTCAGAATTGGTCAGATATCGGAATAATACCATGTATTGAAGATAAATAAGAACATTTCCAACTACCATGATAATAAACCAAACCATTGTTCTCTGTTCAAATGGAACAAGTAAACCCCACTTGTTTGTAGGTGTCATGATATAGTTTAGTTAAGATTTTATTCATTTATTTATTTTTGTGAGTGAATATTTTATTATTGTTTAGTATTTGTTATAATAAGAGTTAAATGCAGACGATTGTAGGAAGTTGTTTTCATAAGTCATTGATGTTGAAACTATTGAACGTCGCGTGCAATACATAGACGTTGAGAATATAGAAGGCGGGCAGACGATTAAGTGATAAACATATAAATAAATAGTGTGAGACGAGCGGGAAACAGCGGACAGATAATAGCAAAAACAAAAGAGTAAAGTTACAGGTAAAGTAAAAATTCGGCGTGAAGTTAACTACCGTAGAAGTGATAGGCCTAACGTTTAATATGTTAGAGTAAGACTAACAGTAGAAAAGGAGATAAGAAGAAGAATCTATTCCGTCAAAGTGTGGTTCTAAATTCATTGAATCAGCCTGAGTGCACTTTGATGAAAGGAACAAAGGATATTTAGATGAAAGAAGACCAAACGATTACGGTTACTCGCGCCACAACTGTAAGTGAATCACACATAGAATACTAGTGTGATAGTAATAAAGAAGATAGTTCGGCTTGTCACTGCAAGTCTAAAGTAATTGAATAGACCTAAGTGGACTTTTGACAAGAAGTAGAGAACTGCATATATAATGTTTATGATATACCTATAATTGCTATAGTGTGAAGAATTTGTTGTACAAACGTTTAACTTGTTCTGAATATATGTATATATTATTCTGAAAACAAGTGAAGTGCGTGCTGTTTATATATCGTTGAATTTATCGCTAACAAGTCACAGACACTTACTGTAGAGGAATTCTAAGCCCAACAACACCATAGTATATGTTTATACTATTAAGAAATATAAGTAAAAGCATTTGATTTTGAAAACTAGTGTTAAAAGAAGAATATATATTTTAAATGTTGACAGTACATGACAATGTAAAAAAAATCCACATTTATATGCATGCAATGGTGAAATAAAGTTAAAGGTTACAAACAGCAAAACAAGACGTTAAAATAAATGATAGCCTTGTTAAGATAAATTTGTATGTGTAGAGTAAAATTGGCACCCACTCCCCAATCGCTTGCTTCCCTCTCCTATATCACAAAAGCCTCACAAGCGTTTTGAACAATTCTAAAAAGTTTCAAACTTTGTACAGTATAAATGCTATTTTCTTGTTTATTTGTTTTGTATAATATAACAATTTCCTATTTGTTTGTTTGTCTCATAGCAAAGCCACATTGGGCTATCTGCTGTATCCACTGTAGGAAATCAAACCCGAATTTTAGCGTTGCAAGTCCATAAACTTACCACTGTCCCACTGAGGGACAACAATTTCCGAACTGAATGTTTTATCTGGATATTATTAATAAACAAAGTATTCACAAACTTTATGTTAACTACATTTAGTTATAAACTGTACGAATGTAATTCTATAATTATTTGTGAAGTCAGACGTAATTTTAGGTTCTTTTCAGAGAGTATATCAAAAGCTGGTTGAAGTCGTGAATGGTCAGATTATAGCTCCTTCAAGGTTGGAAGCTATGCTTACTATTTGTGAAATAGTTGGTTTAATTTTAGCTACAAGTGTAAGTTGTATTTGTGTAGTTTAACCCCTTCAACCTTTGGACCTGGTTTCTAAGAGAACCATACAACGCTGGAACATCTCACTTGTGCGTGAAATGGCTGACCACGTACCGTTGCCACGATATGGACTGGCACTATCAAGGATCTGGCTAATTTAGCAACTCTCGCATTGTTATATTCAAAGCTGTGTGGGCTGTACATTCACTATATTTTGAACAACACGTTCTGACGTCACGCCCCCAGTGGCACAGCGGTATGTCTGCGGACTTACAACGCTAGAATCTGGGTTTTGATACCCGTGGTGGGCAGAGCACAGATAGCCCATTCTGTAGCTTTGTGCTTAATTACAAACAACTAAACAACAGCAACTGACGTCATAGTGGTAAGTATGCATTCTCCTTGAAAGACATAATACATGTGTATCTATTCTAGATGGTCTTTTTGTAGATAAGGTCGGATAGTGGCCTTTTGGTGGTGATATTTAACCTTATATTGCTAGCTAACCTTCTGACCTTTCACAGATTGAATTGACTTGTAGTTTTGAAATATGACTTGTTAGTAAAGCTATGAATATTGTGAATTACTAACAACCTATTGCACTCACAAAATTGTCCAACAGACTTCAACCTTACGTATATCGAAAACGTCTGGGAGACAAGTCGTTAATTTGTGTGCCTTACTAACAGTTAATGCTTTGATGCCCTTACTGAGTGATTGCTCGACATTGCATTTCATTGTGTTTATTTTAAATCTTTTTACGATGAATATTTTATTTTGTTTTTCTTACTATTTGCTTTACTTTTCATTTGTTGTTCATGTAGATTTCATAGCACCTTGAATGTCACCTAAGAGAAACGATTATATAACATTTTATAGCCTATCATTAATTTGTAATTCTCTGACTTTGTTCCAAGTCTAGAAGGCATGCAAATGAGTTTCGTTGGATCTGTAGGGTCACTAATGGCTAACAGTGGACTCGAAGAGGTCATGCAATTTGCGATTGGTAGACTTAATCGTATGTTAGCAAAACAAAAATTCCCTCAAAATAAGAGAGCCTTAAGGGTTGTTTTGGAAGAATTGTTACATCTTCTGATCTACATTGCTGAGAGTCATGACGATCTTATGTCCATTCTGGAAAAACAAGCCAGGTGCAACAGAATATCAAAGATTTAGGTTGACAACCTTATTAAACCTGTGTTCATTATTATGCTCTTCATATGGGTAGAGCAGAGAGTAGACTGGGCTCTTCATCTCTGGGCTGTAAAGGAGATGATACCTTACTTCTTTGCAGCAGGACATGTGAACTATGCAAGATATGGTTTTTGCTATCTGTGATCAATGGAAAGCCTCCCAGAGGGTCTCTTGAGATGTTTCAGAAATATCAGTACATGATGCGTCACACCCCATGTCTTGGAATGGCATCTGGTCTGATATGTTTATTGGAACAACATTTATGCACTATGAGCATGGACTTAGAGGCATTTTTGGTGTAACTCTCAAGCCATAAATGGTGACAAGGTGGGCTTTGAGTCTTGATATCATCAGCCACCTAGTATATGATGAAGCAGAGATGAGAGACACCATTCAGCAAGCAAAGCAACAATTCACAAAGCAGAGATGCCAGGCCACTGACGCAAAAAACAGAGCGAAAGTTGAACAAAAACTGGAAACCTGCATTAATCCCTTGGCTAATGAGGAACACCCCGTGGGCATAGTGAACATAGTCTCTGGGAGTATATCAATAGATTCTGTCAATGTGGATGATTTCAACCACTATTTGGCAAGAGAGAAATGCTCCAGCATGAAGTGAGATGGGCAGAAATTTCAATGAACTGCTGTCCAAGAAGGTCATTACAATGTTGATCAGCAAAAAGCATAAAAAATTGGAACTGCAGATTGTTTTGGTACGAATCTAATCTATTCAAGAGTTATGGGGCTGCTGAGTTCCCGTGGCTTTATTTTGAGAGATATGTTCTTCCTGGAGCTTGTGCCTGTATCTTCTTCGATGTTTGATGACTGTGGCAAAATGAAAATAATGAAATCAAAGACGACATTGAAGACAAAACTTTAATTGGAACAATCAGCTAGGGCATTGCCACATCCTGTGACAACCATACTTGACGGATGTGCTGTGTTGTGTATATAATTCTCTGGCCAAAACTCTGTTTTGTTTTTTGTTTGTTTTTAATTATGCACAAAGCTACACAAGGGCTATCGGAAAAGAAAGGCGCAGCTTGTGACGCCAGTTAACTTGCTTAACTGTGCGGGAAGATCTTGTACAACATTTGTTGCTATAGTCATAGTAACGATCAAATATAATATTCACGGCACTCTTCTCCAACTCGTTAAACACGAAGCTTAGCACATTGTTAAAAAATCCTGAATATTTCTCTGTTTTGGCCGCCCCAAGTGGCACAGCGGTATGTCTACGGACTTACAACGCTAGAAACCGGGTTTCGATACCCGTGGTGGGCAGATCACAATTGCCTCCCCAGTAATTTGCCCTGAAAGTTGCAGAAAATAAATGCCAAATAATTGCAATGATTTGTGATCATCTGCAGAGGAAAGGGAAAAGTCATAAAACCACTGCTACCCATAAGCTTATCGTCATTGGTCCTTCTCCAATTCCATATGAGATATTTAGAGGCTGTTTAATAAAATGAGCTGATCTTGAAACACCACATGAGGAAGCAGATGACATTATCCCTCTTCAAGTCGTGGCTGATGCAAATGATGGAGCGAGCTGCATAAGGGTCATTTGTGACGATACCAATGTGTTTATTCTGCTTATTCTACAAAACCTATCATGTTTGTCCATTGTCTTGCAAGGTGTTAATAGAAGGTACAAGTCAGAAGAGCTGTGTCATAAATATCAGGGCAACAGCAACATAACATGCTGAGATTTCACCTCATCTGCCTGCCATACATGCACTTTTTGGATGTGACATGGTTGCCTTCATGTGGGGAGTTGGAAAAGAAACTGTTCTCAAAGTACTTTTGTTTGGATGTTAGGATGTAATATATGAGGAAGCAATCACATTTGCTTCGAACTGTTATAGCTGTAGAAATGGTGGAAACATGTCCATCCTTAGATATGAAATGTGGCCATCAAGGACTGCCAAAAGAAAGGTAACTGGAGCCCCAACATTGAACTTGCTGCCCCCAAAGACTGAAGCATTTCAATAGAATGTCAAACGATCACATTTCCAACTCTGTATCTGGAAGTCAGCATTAGAGAACAATCCTCCCAATCTCAATCCAACAGGCTTTGGCTCGTTGAAAGATGAAACATCAAAATCTTTTTCACCGATTACTGTACCAGAGGGCATCACCCTCGATCCTCCTGATGTACTCAAGTTAATCATATGTGGTTGTGCAATGGAAAGACCATGTTCCCACACCTCCAGACGTATGTGTGGAAAAGCCCAATTAGCCTCCACATTCTCTTGTAGTTGTCATGTGCAAGAAGACTGCTATGACTGCTGGACAAAGAGGGCTGCTGCTGAAGCAGATGACAATGAAGAAAATGATTATTACAATGAATGTGATGACTAACTGAATGACAGTTTTATTTGGATTGAGTCAGACACTGTATCAGAATATTTCTCCTTTCTGTGTTCACCAAAGATTATCGACGTATTCAAATTTAAGATTGGTGTTATCTAATGCATATGATATACAGTCAATCATTATCCAGCTGTTTTGTGAACATCTTTGATAAGTTTTTAGTACTTTACTTGGAAATGAAAATTGATGTGCCTTGGCTTTTGACAATGAACATTTTAATCAATGTTCAAAATATCAGCTGCCATATTGGATTATGGCCGTATAAATTTCTCTCTTATTGTTGCATATTGTTGAAAAAATACCTGATACAAAATATATGAAGACATAGGCTTTACTTTGAAAGGGAACAGTAGTGAAGTTAACGTAATTTTTAATATTTTTCATTAAAAGAGTTGTCATCTTGGCAACCATCTTGAAATATATTTACATATATTTATGGTTGCAGCTTCAAATTAATTTATTATAAGTTGCTGGTTCTAAAGCATACATTTATATGCAAAAATGCAGTTTTCAGTTCTATAATAATAAAAAAATCATTGTTTATATGAATTTACTTTTATTATAATGACAGCCATCTTGAATATTTCAAATTCCCCAAGGATACCACGTTGGCATCATCCAGATCCTGGTTCAGTACACTTAGTAGTTATAAAAAACATAAAAAAACATTAGTTAAACACCAATGTTTGGCTGCAGGACTATAAGCATAATTAAATGTAAATTACAACCATTGGCACAAAACGAAATTACAATGTACAGAAATATTATAGGCTTTTTCATTTAGACAAGCCTTTCTTAAAGACATTGTTTCAAGAAGTAACTATAGTAATAGTTTTAATCCATAGATAAGTTGGTTTATAAAATATTTAAATACCAAATCTCCCAATCTTCATGTTGCTAGAGATATTCGTACCTATTTTACACAAAAGTTTTACGAAAATTATTTATTTATAGTTAAGCAGCTTTTGTTTTCGGTTGGATAGGGGGATGAGATAGAAACTAAAACATTTTGATTTTTTTTTGTTATCGAGCACTATAAAACGTTCCCATATTATCATTTATTTCACCTGTTTTAACCACTTACACCAATATACATGGTATGTTGTCTGTCAGTCAGTCAGTAGACACTAAAAGGATATCATATCAGAGATCTTTAACGTTGCAGTTTATATTGTCATGACGTCATTGCTACGAATCACGAGAAAAATTGTGCACTCTGTAGGCTACAACACAGCATGACATAAGAACTTCAAAAGCCAGAAACAAAAACATATGTTACTCTTAATTTTGCTTTTGTTTACTCTTGAAACAGAACACTTTCGGAGACTCTGCGCAAGTACATTTAGTACTACTGCTAATTCATTTATATATTGCAGCTGGTATAATTATGTTTTCGTTCCTAGCATACCGGTAGCTTCCAGATGTTAATATAATTATGTTCATGGACTTTGTGTAAATAAGTATTGGGAAAATTTAGGGTGAAAAATCTGATATGTGAAACACGATTGAAGTTTCAGTGTTTCTTGTGGTTAACTACAAATACCTGGATTTTAAATGGATAGTCCTTTGTATTATATTAATACACAAATTTGGAATACGTCACTTTGTAACAGTTTTGGTGTTGTAAGCATACATTAATGTAGTCTAAAACAACAAACTTTCAACACCGTTAACGTAGAAGCACGCTTTAATATAGTGCTCATAAACAGAACCCGAATCAAGATAGCATAAAGAAGTAATATAACTACAGAATAGGTTTTA